TAGAATTCTCTAACATCAAGAAAAACACGTTATACTGTTGGGGCACCGTAATAAGTTTCAGGCACAGTGATAAGCACTGTACGGCAAATTTGCTTATTTTTTCCTTAACATTTTACTCATAAGCTCAACTTAACCGTTGGGGAAACTGATGCTCCGTGATACACTAAGAAGCAGGGGCCGGGGCTGACAGGGTAAGGGTGGAGGGCTAGGTACTCGCTGGCTTCCTTGCCCCCCAGGACTCGCTGTCTCCTCCCGCACGCCAAGTGCAGCAGTGACCTTCAGAGGTCTCTCCACCGAGTCACTTCACCTCCACTCTCAAGCTCTTTCCCTCTCCTTTTCAGGTTTTCCGGCGTTAGGTCTCTTCTGCTCGTAGCACGAGCTGGGCCTCCAATGCGCGACCCACTCAGCTTGCAGCCCACTTGGCCCGCAGAATTCGGCTGAAGGGCAGACGGAAGCCCAAGGCCCCGAAACTCCAAACCAAGCACCACCGGCCCGTATCACCTGACATGCTGACAAACTGCTCCCCAACCTTTCCCCAAGCCCACCGGCTGTGCTCACCGAAAAAGACCCGGCTCTGCTTAGCAGCTTCATGGCTCAAGATTGCAATAATCCACGGTCACAGCCGGTTAAAGGAAAGCAAGATGGTGGCCGACGACAGAGTTTCCCAGCTTCCCCCGCGACACTCTTTTCCCACGCTTTCTACGTAAGAGGACTCTCTATGCGGACAGCACTCTACTGCTCCCCGGAGGAGGTTGGGCCAGTCCAATTACTCTAAGACGCAGGATAGGCAGACGCATAATTTTGTAAGTAAATAATCAGAAGATTACTTATGTTACCACTTTTTGGGTTCTAGTCCTGGCCCGGATATCCACTCTGTAATTCTGCTCTACGTCTACGACATCCCATCACAACCCCCCCTCCGCACTTTGGATTCTCCCGATCCGGATTGTCCAATTAGAGAGCCCCCTTTCCCGGGATCCCACCCGCGGTCTCTGGATTTACCCTTGCACTTGCACTCCCGCACTTTTCTGCTCTCTTTCGGCCGGCGCTTCGGGAGAGACTTTCGTTATCCATTTGCTTTTTTGCAGAGACGGGCTTCGAGTCCGGACGTGACTGTCTGTTGCTTGGTAAAGTCCTCATTAGATCATTAGCTTTCTGAGAATAGAGGTCTTGTCCAATGAACCTGCTGCTCTAACTCCCAGAACAGGCGGGGGATACAAATGGGCTGAGTCCTGAAACCGAGGCAGTCCTCACAATTAAGGTCTCTGCTTTCATAAAATTTATATTGTAGGCCGAGGCTACGTAGAAAACAAAAATTTAACTACACTTTTCGTATGCGAAGAATTAAAATGTTTTGAATAGCAGGGCCGTGTGTTGGGGGTACTTCTGAGCTGAAACCTGCATACTAGGAGTCCTGTGACTATCCAGGGGAAGAAAGTTCACCCCTCTTCAATGAGTATTAACTCATGACTCATGAAGTCACCTTCCATGGCTGTGCTAAAGATTGAGACGTGGTCCCCTGTCCTTCAGGAACTTACAGTCTCATACTGTGCTATCGTAGCACGGTTGGGGGAAAACAACATTAACACCATTTAGAGTTAGAAATGCAGAATCTACATACTGAATCAGAATCTGCATTTTACAAGAATTGCACATTGAAATTTCAGAAGGGCTGGTGGTGCTTTAGACATTTACAAGGCATAGACGAACTTATGTCTAACTCTTTGGTCTGTAGCTAACTGGCTTCACGCCTACAACTGTCTAACAGGATTTCAGGTGACACCTGGTCATTAAGAATCTGATGCAGGAGTGGAGGGATGCCATGTGGAAGGAACTTTCATCACTCATAGCTTTGTCTTTCCCTGGTTACAGTTATTAGTAACCCGTTTATTTGTTCAGAGGTCCAGTTCCTTGTCTGGAGCCCAAGAATGATTTGAGAGAACCTAGGTTATATTTCTGCTCAACTCCAGTTTAACATTAAGAGGTCCGAAGAGAGCGAAAAGCATATATACTGGCATCCAGCTCTTTAAGGATATCAAAAGGGAATTTTCAAGTCATTTTTTGTACAATGTAGCTGTTCAAATTAGCATACAATCATTTTCTTTATAAATAAAAATTTTCAATTTTCAAAAAATTAATCTAAGTCAAGGGTAAATGGGCATCTATTGTACTATTCCCTCAGCTTTACATTTGAAATTTTTCAAAAAGTGGAAAATTATTTTTGGAATATTTATGTCAAACATTCTAATTTCTTCTATGTGCAGTGGCAATAAAATTTACTTGGGGACATGGAAAAAAAAAGTATCTGATGCAAACCCAATTTCTGTGCTTTCAGGGGGCACCCCTAACTCAGTCCATACCACACAGGAGAGTGACCCAAAGTGTGGGAGACTTAACACTATAGCGGTGCATGAGATAATTTTAAGTTTATAAATGAATATTGTTCCATTTCAACAGTTGTACATTTATTTTGGAAATTGATTATGGCAAGCAATACTAGTAATGAGTTTCCTCTTTAAATACATTATAAGAGAGTAAAAGTAGGTTTAAACAACATTGAGTAAATTAACTACTGGTAATAGTTATGGCAAAAATCATGAAGGTGCTATACCAATGAGTGAAATTGGGGAAACATTGCTCTGATCAAGTCACCCACCTGCTTAAAATTTTTCAATGATTCCCCATGTTTTTCAAGATAAAGTTCAAATTCATTAACATGGAATATAAACCTCTATTTCCAGTGCTTTTTAAGCATTACCCCCCAAATTAGCTGCACCCCTGAGAGTCCAGTCATTGGAATTTCATTCAACAGTTCAGGTTAGGTGGGATACACACACACACACACACACACACACACACACACACGCATACACACACCTATTTAGAATGTTCTCTTGTAATAAATATCACCCACACCTCAAAATTTAACTGTGACCCCCCAAAAAATTGTTAATATGTGGTAGGAATTGAAATATAATTCATGATATCACCTACATAAATAATGTAATTCTAAGTTTATTCATATTTTGTACCACCGCAAATTTCCTATTGTTATACACTACAAAGTAGGACCGCCATCTTGTGGACAGATCTACCACTTCCACATCATATCAGCGTCCTACCTAATTCATTGACTGTTGCTTATGAGGGGAGGAAGGGTGTGTGTAACTGAGATGGGATGCCATTGTTAACGTGTGTGGTATTGGTAGGTAGTGTACATTTTCCACCTCATGCTTTTCTTCAGCTCCCAACCAGTTGTATAGCTAATTACATAATTATAGTGCTGGGGGAGGCTGGATCCTTGAGCTCCAATTCTCATTTTGCGTTGTCACTCCCTATACCTTTTGAATAATTAATGCTTGGAGGAGTAAGCCCCCCAAATGGAGGGAAGTTAGTAAAAGTTGAGAATTGAAGACACAGAAAGAGAAAGCGGGTGACCAAGAGGTAAGAAATAAAGGAGAAAAAAGGGAGGGAAGAAGAGTGTTCTTTATCTAGATGAGGCTCCAGATTGCTTACATCTCCTTACTCATTACTTTTTAAATGTATTTTTAAAACCTCTTTTCCTCTTTTATAATGCCCATGGCCCAGGCTAGCATAAAAACAAGGGTGTAGGTGACAGAAGACCTTGAAATTTCTCCAGGTTGCCTTACCAGCTCATGTCAGATTTCTGCCACAACTCTCGAATTTTACTGCAGAAGAAAATGAGGTCCTTGAAATTGTTTCTGCATAGGAGACACTGCAAGCCCTGGGAGAGGAAAGGAATAAGAAGATGGAAAACCAGAGGAGTAAATTGCTGGAAAGCTTTGTTAGTTTTCTTAATATGGAGTCAAATCTGACCCGTGGAGCCCAACTTCCTGCCTTGAGCTGAAGTTGGGCGGGTGGGGAGGAACATCATAAGGAAGGAGGCTATGGAGAGGCAAAATAGACTCTAGGAACATGGTTTGATCTTGTACTTGGGAACATCATCTTGCCATATTAGAGCCAGAGGCATTAATCATGGCTCCTCCTAATCCATAATTTTGATTGTTGGCATTTCCTTCCCTGTTCCTCTCAGAATCCTACCCAAGCAAATAACACTATAGCCTGGAGTTTATTCTCCCTTCTGGGAACTTTACTGCCTTGTATTGATCATTGGTTGTTTATTCATGTTTCATTTTCCTTAACTAGATTAAAGAAAAAACATTATTGGCATTTTCAGACAAATAGAAGTTAAAGGGATAACACAATGAACTCCCATTTACCTATTGCCCAGTTTCAACCAGAATTGACATTTTACCTTTCTTTGATTTTAAGCTCCTTAGTGGAGAGAACTATGACTCATAAATGTTTAAGGTAGCTACCAATCATAATTGGGGAGGGGGATGGTCATGTAAAAAATTTTTATATATGGAATGCTTCACTAATTTGTATATCATCCCTGAGCAGGGGCCAAGGGCATGGTTATTTTTGACACCTCACTTTAGTGGTCAAGATCTGAAGTCAAAGCTGCTCTAGGTAATGTTTAATTCTCCCACTTTCTCTTGGATCCATGCATTTTATTAAACAGAAACATACAGCCCTTTTGTCTTAAAAACTCTGCTTTTCACATTTCTCTTAGTTGTATGTGGGATCCACGTAAGTTTGCTACGCGCCTTCTTGGTTGATGTCAGGTGTGAAAGGGAGAATCCAAGGGAGATCACTTGTGTCATAAGATTGCAAAGACAAGGAAGGAAGGAACCTCAGGATTCACACCTTACTGAGAAAGAATATTCTGGAGTCAGCCTAGATGCCAGTGCTGTATTCTTATAATGTCCCGTTTCGACCTCATGATATCAAAAAATGTGAAATTCTGCAAGGTAGGCTGATCTATCTTCTTTGAAATTATTTTATGACTCAGGTAGCCAAAACTACTTTAGCAAGGAGGCCTTGACCCTGGTAAGTTTGGGAAAGGAGAATGTGTTTGTCATCTCTTCGGTATGGCTTTAGTGGAAGTCTTATTTGAGTGGTGACATCACTAAAGATATGTTGTTACCTGCTACTAATTCTCAAGAATAAAAATGACTTCTTAGGTGTTAAAATTGCAAGCCTTAACTTGTGAATCCCCTGGAAGCCTGCCCATTTTTTGCCCGAGCCAAATACGTATCAGAATTAGGTGGAGTACTAGGTAAAATGCAGATTCCTGGGTTCTCCACCACTCTGACTGAATCAGACTCTACAGGGTTTGGAATCTAGGAGTTTTCATTTAAAAATTTTTAAAAAATGTTTTTATTTATTTTTGAGACAGAGAGAGATAGAGCATTAGCAGGGGAGGGGCAGTGAGGGGGAGACACAGAATCTGAAGCTGGCTCCAGGCTCTGAGCTGTCAGCACAGAGTCCAGTGTGGGGTTCGAACTCACGAAGTGTGAGATCATGACCTGAGCTGAAGTCAGACGCTTAAACGACTGAGCCATCCAGGGTCCCCAAGGGATCTTCATTTTAAAGAAAAGCCCCCCAGGTGAATCTAGTGCATAGTCATAAAGTCTGGGAACAGCTGGCTTAGCCTCTCTGCCCCTGTGTAGTAAGTAGCATATAGCAGGAGTGTATGCCTTTAATGTTTATTTATTTTTGAAAGAGAGAGAAAGACAGAGTGTGAGCAGGTGAGGGGCAGAGAGAGAGGGAGACACTCTCTGAATCTGAAGCAGGCTCCAGGCTCTGAGCTGTCAGCACAGAGCCCACTGCAGGGCTTGAACCCACGCACTGTGAAATCATGACCTGAGCCAAAGTCAGTTGCTTAACTGACTGACTTACCCAGGTGCTCCAGGAGTATATGCCTTTAAATTTTTACTGTTTACACACAAAACACAAGGAGAGAAAACTTGCTGTCACTTAAAAAATTTATTATTATTTTTTACCTGAAAAAGAGAGAGAGGGCACAAACAGTGGAGAAGGGCAGAGGGAGAGAGAGAATCTCAAGCAGGCTCCATGCTCAGCACAGCCCATTGTGGGGCTCGTGGGGCTTGATCCCATGACCTGGGATCATGACCTGAGCTGAAATCAAGAGTTGGACGCTCAATCGACTGAGCCACCCATGCGCCCCTTGAGGTCATTTTTAAACTCAGAAATTACAATCCTTTTGCTTTTACTGAATTCCTAGATTGTTAGATTCTACTTGTTTAATTGTATTTATCTGTTCTTCCCTACCCATTGCTGTCCTTCTATCTCTTGATGTGGAGATTTCACAGATGTCTGGGGATTCAAGTACCAAACTTAGACCCCTGGTTACTTTCCCTTCCTTTCCTGCCCTCCATCCTTCAACATTTCTGGTTTTTGTGTTTGTTTGATTTTCATTTAGTTTCAAAATATCTCCACATTTAGAAAGCTCTGAGGTAAGAACTAGAGTTACTACCTATGTTTCTATATCAAATTTATAATTAATGTTACTCTTTCCACCTGTAAAACATTCTGGGCCAGGAGGCAGGACTACATTGATTGCAATACGTTCTGGTCTATAAGCTACTATAATTAGGGTTACTACACAAACCGAGATAATTTTGAGAGTAAAAGGGAGAACTATAAATGTTTATATAATTTTGAGAGAGATTGAGCATGTGAGCAGGGGAGGGGCAGACAGACCGGGAGAGAGAGAATCCCAAGCAGGCTCAGCACTGTCAGCACAGAGCCCGACACAGGGCTTGAACACACGGACTGAGATCATGAACTGTGCCTAAATCAAGAATCAGACGCTTACTGACTGAGCCACCCAGCTGCCCCAGGGAGAACTATTAGTAAGTAAACCAGGACAAAATAAATCTGGGACCATATGACCAGCAATTTCACTATTAGACATATACTGAAGACAAATGAAAACATGTCCACAGACAGACTTGTGTGTGAATGTCCACAGGAGCATTAGTCATAATAGCCAAAAAGTGAAAACAACTCAAATATCCTTTAACTGGTGAATGAATAAATACAGGCTATATCCATACACCAGAGCAATAAAAAAATAACAAAATACTGATACTACATGTATACAACATGGATGAACCTTGTGTAGGTAGAACACTAGTTTCTGGAATCTGAATACATTACATGGCAAAAGTGATTTTACAGATGTGATTAACTTAGGGATCTTGAGATGAGCTTATCATAGTGGACCCAATGCAATCACATGGGTACTTATAGCAGGGCAATGGAAGCAAAGGTCAGAGTGAGAGTGGTGCTAAGAACCAAGGAATACAGGTGGCCTCTGCAAGCTGGACACACAAGGAATGGTTTCACCCCCAGAGTGTCCAGAAGGAACACAGCTTTGCTGATACTTGGATTTTAGCCCCACTAAGACCCATTTTGGACTTTTGGCCTCTAGTACTTTAAGATAATTTGCACTGTTTTAAGCCACTAAGCGTGTGGCAATTTGCAGCAATTAGAAACTAGTATAAACCTCAAAAACATACTAAATGAGGGGTATCTGGGTGGCTCAGTTGGTTAAGTGTCTGCCTCTTGATTTCAGCTCAGGTCATGATCTCAGGGTTTGTGAGATCCAGCCCTGTGTCCAGCTCTACGCTGATAGTGCGGAGCCTGGAATTCTTTCTGTCCCTCTCTCTTTGCCCCTTCCCTGCTCGTGCATTCTCTCTAAATAAATTAAATAGATAAACATTTTAAAAAGCCATACTAAATGAAAGAAATCTGGCATACAAGATATTTATAGATATTTATACGAAATGTCCAGAGAAGAGAAATCTATAGAGACAGAAAGTCCTAGGGGTTGCCTAGCACTGGGGGTGGGAACAGGGATCTTATCAGTGAGATCTTATTAGTGTGATGAGAACAGCAAAGTGTTCTAAAACTGGATTGTAGTGATGGCTGAATTGACTAAGAATTATTAATTTGTACACTTGAAGTGAATTATAGGATATGTGAATTACAACTAAAAAGTGGGCAGATAGTCACCCTAACAATAAGACAATGGTTCATCACAATCTCCCAGAAAACCTGTTAAAAAGATGCCTTGGTCCCACTCCTCTAGATGCTTATTCGTTGGGTTTGAGAAGGCCAGGGCACCTGCATGTTTAATAAGATCCCTAGATATAGCCTGACACATACCATGGAATATTTCTGAACATGTGATTCGTATCATCTGCATCATAATCACCCCAGGTGCTTTGAGAAGCACAGAGGCCTGGTCCCAGTGCGGTTTTACTGAACTGGAATCTTTGGGAGTGGGGTCCATTATCTGCTGTTTTAATGAATTTGGTAACTGGTGCTCTCTGCAGCCAGCAATGTCCTTGTTTTTATCTTGTAGTAAACTTCCAAATGCTGTCCCACATGATAGAGACTTTGCTGATGTATTTGTCCCTCAGAAGTCAGAGGTTTCTTTTTTTTCTCCCTGTTGTATGAGCTGGGATAAAAATTATAGAGATGTTGCTCAATGATCTAAGCTCAAAACATGTGTTTGTCCTGTTAAGTCTCCCATACATCTGAAGGGCTATTTGTACACTGCTGTCCTTGCTTTAGAAGATAACTCATTAGGGAGCTTCTTTAAAAGTGATTATTTAATGTCCAAGGAACACTTTTTAAGAACTTTTTTCAATGCTTATTTATTTTTGAGACAGAGAGAGAGAGGGAGACACAGAATCTGAAACAGGCTCCAGGCTCTGAGCTGTCAGCACAGAGCCCGACGCGGGGCTCTAACCCACCAGCCGTGAGATCATGACCTGAGCCAAAGTCAGACCCTCAACCGACTTGAGCCACCAGGGTGGCTGCAGATTGGTTGCACAACAATATGAATACACTTAACACTACTGAATTCTACACTTAGAAATGGTTAAGATGGTATATTTATGTTACGTGTTTTTTCTTTTACCACAATGAGGATAACACAATTCTTTTCTAGCACAGTGTTTTTACCATATGCACATCAAAGCTAAGTTAAAAAAAAAACCCTGGGATCCTTGCATTCTAGAAGGAACAATCCTTGAAAAAAATCAGAATTAACTTCTTACTGAAAATATGCACATGGGGCGCCTGGGTGGCGCAGTCGGTTAAGCGTCCGACTTCAGCCAGGTCACGATCTCGCGGTCCGTGAGTTCGAGCCCCATGTCAGGCTCTGGGCTGATGGCTCAGAGCCTGTTTCCGATTCTGTGTCTCCCTCTCTCTCTACCCCTCCCCTGTTCATGCTCTCTCTCTGTCCCCCCAAAAAATAAATAAATGTTGAAAAAAAAATTAAAAAAAAAAAAAGAAAATATGCACAGAACTCATATTTTTGATTCACAAGGATGAGGTGAGAAACCACTTTATGTTCATTTAAATATTGTTTTTTGATTAGTTGTATTTTTAAAATATTTATTTACTTTTAACATTTATTTTTGAGAGAGAGAGAGAGAGAGAGAGAGAGAGAGAGAGAATATATCCCAAGCAGGCTCCACAATTTCAGTGCAGAACCTGATGCAGAGCTCAAACTCACGAACCATGAACCATGAGATCATGACCTGAGCCAAAATCAAGAGTTGGACGTTTAACTGACTGAGCTCCCCAGGTGCCCCATTTTTAAAATATTTAAACAAAAACACTTGATCCCTTTAAGTGGAGAAACAGCCTAAGAGAGTGACCCTGAGTGTGAAAGAGTGAAGGCACAGATGGGGTATTCGTTTGCCATAAGATTTTAGAGCTAATCAAAGAGAAATATTACTCTGATACAGAGCAAGAGTGGTCATGAGCAGCCAAAGAGGGTTGAGAATGATTCCCAAGTGGGTGTTGAAATTAGAATTTAGAAAACAACTTAAAGAAATATAATTGTATTGAAATTATTAAGCAAATGTTAACTATTGGAAATTAATATATTTTTAAATATTTTTAAAGTTTATGTATTTTGAGAGAGAGAAAGGGAGAGAGCCGGGAGGGGCAGAAAGAGAGGGAGAGAGAGAGAGAATCCCAAGCAGGCTCTGCATTGTCAGCACAGAGTCTGATGTGGGGCTCAAACTCACGAACTGTGAGACCATGACCTGAGCTGAAGTCGGATGCTCAACCAACTGAGCCACCCAGATGCCCTGAAAT